TTAGAAGAGGGTTTTTTGTTTGGTTTTTTCCAAATGATAATAGTTACCTGTTTGTTTAATTAAAGGGCTTAAAAATGTTCAGTCGATTGTTCACTGTTGATTGGGGGTTGTTTTGTTTCACAGCAACATTCCTATTTGTTCTGGAATGATGAACTTCTGATCGGCTGTCTCCTCAGACATGAGAAAAGTGTTTTATCTAGCACTCTCTATAAACAATGCTACTCTATACCATAAACATTTTTAATACGCCAAGAAGGTTTTAAGTGAGCACAAGCTCATATAAAAGCCATGAAATGAGTAACTTCAGTTTTTTCCTAATGCCTTGCTTGACTTGATAACTACCCACAGAATTTATTTTTTTTTTCTTAGGGGACACTGTTATCCCTCTGTACATCCCCCAGTGTGGAGAGTGCAAGTTCTGTAAGAATCCTAAAACAAATCTATGCCAGAAGATAAGGTCTGTACGCTTTTAATTTGACACACAGTGTAGTATTTGTTCAATGTACCTGTTCTAGTTATCAAAAGTAATTGACAGGAGTTAACTTCCAAGAATAAATCTCTTGATGCATCATTTAAAGACTTGGAAAGTATGTGTTTTATTTAGGGAGTCAGTTATGCACTACTTTACATTCTTCCTTAAAATTTATTTTCTTTTTTGCCCTTAAATAAATGTTTCTCTCTTTTCACCTATGTGAAGGTATAAACTGCTTATTTGTGTCCACAGCTTTGAAAACATAAATTAAAAACTCCGTATTTAATCCGTATTTAAGGGAAGCACTTCAGGGAATTTAGCTCTTGGGAGTCAACACCAAAGCTGTCAAGTGGAACAAAATTATACAGAAAGCCCTTTTTCCTTAACACCTGCTTCCCGGCTAAATTTCCAGGTGCCACTCTGAAAAAAAGTCTCCAAAACCCAAAGAAAAACCCCAGTGATATAACTGACAGGTGCTATTCAAGGGAAGTGTACTGAAGGAGGTGAAGATGGGGGTCTGGTACTGTGGCACAAGCAGTTAGCATTGGTAGCTAACAAGGTCAGCACGTTGATAAACTCCATTTCTTTCAGTGCTTCCATGGAGGAATTAACAGCATTAAGTTTTAGGAGTTCAGCATCTTATTTTCTGTGAACTTCTGGGTTTATTGGAATGATTGAGAAATAATGGTGGAAGTACGCAACTGCATCTCTGTGCTTCTTAACGGATACTGTCTGGTGAGAGTATTTACTGCTTAAGACTCTGACTGTGCTTTCCTGTCTTTGCCTTAAGAATTACGCAAGGGAAAGGACTGATGCCTGATGGTACCAGCAGATTCACCTGCAAAGGAAAACAGATTTACCACTTCATGGGGACTAGCACCTTCTCCCAGTATACTGTGGTGGCCGATATCTCAGTAGCCAAGATAGATGCTGCAGCACCTCTTGATAAAGTCTGCCTGCTGGGTTGTGGCATCTCTACTGGCTATGGGGCTGCTGTTAACACCGCTAAGGTAATGGCTCTGGTTGCCTCTGGCTTTTCTCTGTAAGTATATCTGAGCCAAAGTACACAGATCGCTTAGGGCCTAGATTAGGACTGTAAACATGAGGTACCAAATTTGTGTTTTTTCTTCCTCTTTGAATGATGAAGTTTAGCTAAGAATTTCTAACTTCTCCATAAAGGCCAGATCAGGTTAGAAGAACCTGATGCCCTTTAGAGGAAATCCAGATAGAAGATTCTTCATCCCTTTTGATACCAGCTATATAAAAATTACTTTTCCAATTCATCTTATTCTTGCCGCAAGTCATTCTGATAGTTTGAAGCTCAGGGTGAGACAGAGCTGGTAGGTGAGCGTGCATGAGTCTAGGGCAGGTTATGGGGGTCGAGTCTTTGGGCAAAAGAAAAGCTTAGTACCTAAACGGCTTTTGGATGCAATTTCTGTATAGTTTCCCTTATCTAAGGGATGAAGTCTCATAGCCATACGTGTTTCCTTCCGTGTTTCCTTCATTACAGAATTCTTAACCTGCGTTTCCCACTCATGTGGAAGGATGAATTTTCTCTGTGTTGCTCATGGCTCTTTTCTTATTCCTAGGTGGAACCTGGCTCTACATGTGCTGTCTTTGGTTTAGGAGGAGTTGGGCTGGCAGTTATTATGGGCTGTAAAATAGCAGGAGCATCCCAGATCATCGGCATCGACCTTAACAAGGATAAGTATGCCAAAGCCAAAGAGTTTGGAGCTACTGAGTGCATTAGCCCTCAAGACTTCAAGAAGCCCATACAGGAGGTGCTGGTTGAGATGACCGATGGTGGTGTAGACTACTCATTTGAGTGCATTGGTAATGTTGGAGTCATGGTGAGTCTCTGCGTAAGAGTAGTACATAGAGGGAGGGGATAGCTAGCTGCCACTTAGTTGTTTAGCTAAATAGCAAAATGAGCCGCTTTCTTGTTACAGAAAACATGCCACACTAATTTACTTATTTTTTAAATAGTAATGATAATTGCTATGACTAAAAAGGCCAGTTTACATCCAATCCTAATTATGTAATGAAAGCAGATGCTACTTCTTAGACTGAAAATGGCACTTAAAATTTACAAACTTTTTTCCTTAATGGGAGCTCTTTGAAATCTCGAGTTTTCGTATGTTGACAGTTGAAAAATTAACAAACCCCACATAAAATATATTGTACAATGAACAGTAAAATCTCAAAGGCCACTCGGTATTTCCTCAATTTCTCAAATAATGAATTTAACCTTTGGAAATGCAGAAGTATTACTGAATGTAAGGCTTGGTTTTCAGGAGTAACAGCAGCATTCCTAACTGTCAGTAACGTGGTCTACATTGTCTCTGATTACAGTTCACCCCAAGTCCCACTGGGAGTTCAGAGTGACTTCTCTGGAAGCCAGATGGGATATAAAAAGAGCAAAGTGAATCCTTAACAGTATAAAGAGTCTGAACCAATGGAAAATTTAATGTAATTTTCAGTTGATTGTTCCTTAAATACTAATGTGGTGATTCATTAACTGGGGGAAAGGAAGTGCAACCCGTGCCAGTCTAGGCAGCATCCACATTAGCAATAAACGCTCTGCTTTGTCCTGTCCATCTGTGAAGAGGGCTGCCTTGGAAGCCTGCCACAAAGGCTGGGGAGTCAGTGTGATAGTCGGAGTAGCTGCTGCTGGTCAGGAGATCTCCACACGGCCATTCCAGCTGGTAACTGGGCGGACATGGAAAGGGACCGCATTTGGAGGTAACTCTCTTTTGTTATGGGGATAAAAATAATTTATTATGGGTTAAAGCTGGGAAGAACATGCTGCCTTGATTTTGCTTGTGCAAGAAATGTACTACTGACAGACTATTCATAAATGCTGGGTTGACTTTTAAGATCAAGACTTTTAAAAACTGATGTTCCTACAGACAGGCTACAAATAAACACATTGGTATGATATCTCGCATATTTTGAAGAGAGAATGTAACTATATGCTACTCAGTACTAAAGGAGGGGTATAGAGGGACTGCTTTATCACCAAGTGAAGGTTTGGTTCAGTGGAAGGACTTAGTCTTTGGGGAGATGGGAACTCACATAAACATGGTTTTGTTGCTTAATCACTAAGCAAATTGGGCTAACATGGGAATGTGCTATAAAGAACTTTAAAATAAAAAGCAACAAATGCTTGATGCATGTTTTCTGCTGTCAAACCAAAACCATGTTGAGACTTTTACAGCTACTAATAACTGGGGAATTCAGTAATTGCTGAAGTTCATGGAAGTATACAAACTTGATGACGTTATTACACTGCCCTTTTTCCAAGTAATACAAAACTAGGTTGGGTTATAAAGATGCACAGAGAGGCTGATAGAGATGCCTTGTGCATGCTTTCCTAGGCTGAGGGCTGCCGTTATGTTAAATGCTGAAATACCTAGTGAACGGTTAGCGCACTTTGTGTTTGGATAATGTACGCTCTTGCCCAACCTAGTATCCTCTTGCATTCCTTACTCACTGCCTGCCTAGAGCGGGAGGGACAAACGTGTTACTGATCTCAGTTCCTGTTCATATTTATCACACAAGTGCCTGTGTAAGGGTTGAATTTTTTCTTTCTCTCCATTTTCCAAGGTGGGTGGAAAGGGGAAAAACAAATGTATACTTTCTGTCTTTCAGG